ATCTGCTAATCAAGATGCAGGAGTCCATTCTTCACGATCTGGACGATCACCCTGAGCAAGATCCGACATGGAACAAAGACCTGTCGGCATTCATGACGGTCTGGTGCGCCGCCACGTTCTCCGTCGCCTGCCAGAGCCGACTCTGCTGCGCAGCGCCAACTAGATCAGAGGAAAAACGTGGCCACCATCCCTGTCCTTCGGCCGAAGAGGCGAAAGAGCTGTCCACTTCGCGGATGGAAGTGGGTGTTCGCCGGTCATCCTCCGAAGACCGAAAGGGGTGGCCACCTGTACCGTCGGGATTGGGGACAGCGTCGTGACGCAGCGCCGCACAGATTGCAGGGCTGCGACGAGCAAAATCGAGCGCAGAATATGTCCTGTCAAGTTGATGCCGTGAAATGGCAAGTGTGGTGGTTAAACAGACAACGCACCATAGAAAGTCCTCATGCAGACTGTCTTCTCTGATTTCAGTGCTTTGATCATTGCATGTACATCAGGCGCCTTTTTGTAGGAATACCCGGGCCTTTCAGTATATTGCTTTGGCTATAGACTAGTGGGGCTTTACCGTCTGAGGCCTTTCTAATCGTTCCAAGCACAGACTTCGAGGTGATGGCATGCATTTAAGGCTAAATGTGTTAGAGCAAGTGTGTAAGATATCCGATGTTTGCAGGGTACTGAAGAGTGGAGGTGACGTGCACAGGAACCTGCAATGCTTGTCGTGGGGCATCCAGCCGCTCGCTGCATGCCTGTCCCGAGTGCCGGCCCGACTCAGGCTGTAACTGTACGTAGGGCTGGGAAGGAGTCCGATTTGACGCTGCGCGGCCTTTGTCTTGCTTGTGACTACGGAAGCGGGATAACTTGATGCGAGGGTGTGTGATGATGGCATTTGATGATGTATTTGATCGATTGACGATGATGATGTGTTTGCCTGAGGACGGGAAACTGTACACCGTGCTTGATGCTGTACTCATCGGCGGCACAAATCACTTGTACAGCTTGTGAATATGATATTATTGTGTTTGTGAGAAGTCTTTTGGACGTGGTGAGTTATACCTGGTTTAGACGGTGTGCTTTGTGTGTGCTAAGATGTGTCCTGTCGATCTGAATACACGTGCATGACATGCTAAAGCTGATGATCTTGTTTATGCCACCGTCCACGATGTGCATGTCTTCGAGTGTTTAATCGGCATATTGTACGAGGACCACTGGACCATCGCAATGATAAGTCAGTGACGTCCGGTCCAGTTCACAATCTCATTTAATGCCTAGGTCACTAAAAGAGTACAGCCGATACGGTTCCAAGAAATGATGGGAGGTGCCAGTTGACGCAGCGCGAGGCCTGTCTGCTCCAATCTGGATCCCGTACAGTAGGTATTCTCGTGGAATCACCCGGGATGCCGGTTTTGCGTCAGTCTTTATACAACCCGCGACAAGAAATATGCCAGAAATATAGGACATCTGTATAAATATTATGGTTTGAATTATGTGGCTTGGGAGAACGGGTGCTCGGGAACGTGTGCCATGATTAATGCTTTTTAGCGGTCATATAATCCCACCACAACACTGGTTTCGCCAGATTTGTTAAAGGAAGGATTGAGAACCGGATTTATTAACCTGGGGCACCGTAATTATTAATGAAGCCCAAAGGTGCTAAATGAATGTAATTGAGTCTAACATTAAGTATAAATGCCCATTCTCTTCTTATGTGGGCCTCGTTGTTTTGCCGGTCCAAAAAGAAAAGTACATTTAGGTTCATGTGTTGGCATGTTTTCCATTCATATCGGGAACTGTGCGGCAAAAGGGGGCCAGAAATTGGGAAGAAGTGTAAAGATATTGGATTTTCCAAGATCCTTCCATTTCGCGGGATTTTCATTAGCGTGATGTGTGATTTTGTAGGGATCCATATAAATATGGCAAAGTAAGGTGAAAGTGGGAGAAGGAGGAGGGGGCCGAGCGTGCGCCCGTGGGCCCAGTTGCGATTTGAAAGGGGCCGGAGAAGTCGAGACCCAAACCAAACGTAATCTTAAGCTCCTGAACCGCGTAACGATCTTATGGCCATCGGACGGCTCTGTGCGACGCCTAAACTATTTACAAAAAAATACAGAGAAGCAATAGAAAGAAGCAAACACAGAATAAATTTGGGGAAGCTCTGCCGCATTCCCATCACATTCATCCAATACTCGCTGGGCAATGCAGGTTTAGTGGCCTGAACTTCCATGTTTCAAAGTAAGGTTTTTCGGCGTTCTTGAAAGTTAGTCGAAGATTCACAGGAAAATGTAAATGTATTGACAAAAAGATGTACCAAATCCATTTCTTGTCGTCCCCGATATTTTGTGAGACAAGACAGTTGTGCCAGAAGATCAATACCTGGACGGTTTCGGTCACCACTATTTCTAACACTGCTGACAGTAGTTGCTGGGAAACATATGCACGAAAAAGATGCCATCCCCCTGATCTAACACTGCTGACAGTAGTTGCTAGGAAACATATGCACGAAAAAGATGTCATCCCCCTGATCTGACACTGCTGACAGTAGTTGCTAGGAAGCATATGCACGAAAAAAGATGCCATCCCCCTGATCTAACACTGCTGACAGTAGTTGCTAGGAAGCATATGCACGAAAAAGATGCCATCCCTCTGATTTGTATGGAATTTTTAACTGAAATAGCCAGCTGGGAGATCATTTGGTGCAGTTCACAGCGTGCTCTTCTTAAAGGGATTGTCCCACACTGGAAGATATTGAAGCAAGCATCAGATATGATGAAAGAAGCTCGCTTATAACGATCAGTATACTTTTAAGTGAAAAGGACGGCTCTAGACCACACGGCTTCTCTGTCTAGTAAATTTACCCCCCCCCCCCCCAATATGTCATTGATAACATTATCGTACCGTGCACAACATTGATTGAGAGCAAGTTGACGGCCGTTATATCTGAAAATGGTGCTAACGAGCGCCGTATATGAATGGCTCGACAATTACATTTATATCCGTCACGGTCGCCGCATGCCTTATGGAATGGCAGGATTTCAATTACGTTATTATAGCGTCATGGATGCCTGGATGACGTTGAAATTGCCCCACCGAATTATTCTGCACACATTTGCAGGTGTGTAGTTCAGAAACTAGAAAAAACCTTAGGTCTTAAGAAGAGCAACAAGGCTGTGAATTGCACTGAATGATCCTCAAGATGACTATTTCGGTTCAAAACCCCACGCAAATATGGACGTTCCTTAAACCTTTGGGATAAAGCACTGGCGGTGATAATTTGTGGAGTATGGACTGTAGCGTAGTGTACTAATGTCGCATAGAAGCTTGGCTGAGGAAGAAGCATCGCTGAAAAGCAGACTGTCCAGGTAAGCTGTGCTGTTGCCAGCATATTAAACTTTAAAAAGGCTTACTGGATTGAGTGTAGCCGTTTTCCAAATCTATTGTCTTTTGCCAGTACAGTTGGCGAGTATGGATCATTAATCCACACGATGTGCTGCATAGTTGTCCGTGCACTCGAGCCAGGGGCGAGGGGATTGGAACTGGGCAGCTTGGACCTCATTGACTTCAACTTAAGTGGAGTAGCTTTGTGAAAGCACGCAGTCATTAAATCCGTGGGCATGGCAGGTGGGCATGGCAGCTTTTAAAGTAAATACGTGTGTTCTTTTAACCAAAAAGCCAGTCATTTATCGAACTGTGAATTAACAATGCTCATATTTATTTTTGCACATCTAGTGCTCCACTCTTCTTCACGGCTACCATTGACGTAACAATTGGTGAGCCCCGCAAAGTTTTCAGAGATCTACTAACAATATGACAATTATTTTTCTTGCGTTCCTACTTGTTTCAGTTACACCATTTTGTATTTATTCATAAATTGTTCAATCTCATGCAATAAGTTCACAGTGTGGTAAAATCCTTTCCTAAAATCCTTGGTAAAATCTTTTCCTTCCAGAATTATTTTCTACAATTGTTTACGGCCCGAAAGCAGTTATACCGCATCGGCTACTCACCTGGCTTACATTGCACTTGTCTATGTTCTTATGACATTTTCCACTGATAATTTATAGTTGCCATGGGTGACAACATCGGTGGATGGGGAGGCAAAGGAAACGTGTCCCCAGTTTAGCCGATGGCATTTCACAGCCCACACACTATTTTCCACAGGACTCACGGTTTTATATTTTTCCGTGCAAAATTGCTAGTGTTAGGACCATTTTTACCGAACGTGAATAAGTTTTGCCCGATTTTGCTTTGCTCAGTTAACCCCAGCCATAGCTCAAAATTGTTGCCATCACTCAACGTCGGGTAAAGCTGGGCTGCTCAGGACAAAACTGTTTGTGGCAAGGTGGAGCTAGACACGTCAAGTTACATTACGTGGTTGTTCTCGCCACCACGACTGCCGAGGCGGATATATTTGATATAAGCGTGTGGGTTGGGCATGGATGACGTCAGCAAAAACGGACATTTGTGATCGCCACAGCGTACAGGGTTAATGTTTTGTGAGCAGTGCATTATTGGATTTCGAAAGATGTGCGTGATTAAGCCACGGAATATGTCGTAGGTCTATACCTGCTTTGTAAACAGAGCCTTGCGAGTTGCAACAAATTGAGCACCCAAGTAAACATTGGTTCCCATAGCCAAAGAACGAAAAATACAAGCCATATCGGGCGTTTCGTTGAATTCACTTCATTGCATATCTTCTTCCCTAAATAAAATATTTGTCATTTGCCGGACCATTTACTGCACAAGCATTGTTGCCGTTTGGTATGTTAGGTACCTTACGTGGCAATGTCGGAAAATGTCTAACAAGTGAAGTGTATTAGTTTCATGGTGATGAGCAGGGAGTCCAATGATATTTTTCCCGTGAGAGCGGCTACTTCAAGTCAAAATTCTGAACTATTCAAAACATTTTTAGAAAACAAGTACTACAGGTCAAATCGTGCACGTCCGATCTAACAATAAGCAGCCAAATCGGACTAAACAACTTATGCTGCACAAGAAGTCCAAAAAAGGTGGGGTACTCCCTTCCCTCAATCACGTCTTTATTGGAGCGGCGCCCACAGGACGGCCGCCTCGGCGCCGAGCGCCGCCGCGGGCGGGCCGGCGCGGCGCGGCCGCCGGCCACTGACCATCATCCCGTCTCGGTGCGGCGCGAGGGCGCTGGTACGGCCGGCTGTCTTCGGAGTGTCGGCGCGCCTCGGGTCGGTCCGCCACGTCTGCCGGCCCGCTCGGCGACTGCGGCAGCCACCGCCGCACCGGCCAGGTATACCGGCCCCGCTGCCACCTCCGGCCCGCCGAACGCACGATCTGCGCAGGCCCACCGCCGCCGGCTCTGCCCGGCAGCCACGCCTGAAGCAGCGTCAGCCCCCTCTCGCCCCACCCCGCCCAGAAGACACCTAGGCGGTAGCGTGCTGATGCTCCATTCAAGAACAGCGAGTTGCTTGCCGAGCTTTTGAACCAAATCGTTTTAAGTGTCGTGAACACGGTCTGCAGTTTGGTCTGTAGCGCGTCCTAAACATGGTGTCAAGCATGATTGCCGGCGGACGTATGATATTATGTCACAGCTTGTTGCATGCTACACATCGTCCCAGACGTTGAAAATGTCACTGTATGACCATATTTGCCTAAGTACTGGAAGCGTACAATACACCGACAGCTTCACACAATCGCCGTGAGGGGATACGTAATATGAGTAAGCGCCACTTTATTCCGATCGTAAGCTGTGTTTTTGAGGAATACATGGACAAAGTTCTGCGCGAATGATATATTTCCCGTCCATTTCCGATGACTTTTTGTTACAAAATCACCTCCTTTTTAATCCAAAGTTTGATTCTATTCCATCTCACTTTCAATCATTTTTTCTTAGTTTGTACTATTTCTGTTGGCAGGAGTGATTCCAGACTTGGGTGAACAATCGACGCTGCTGTCTTTGCACCATTTTCACTCACTACGAAGCCAGGGTGTAGCTCCTTGTCCAGTTGGAAGGGAGGAGGCTATCAAGTCACTACGGTAGTCATCACCGCCGTCGGCAGCCCGGCTACCGGAGCTTCAATGGCGAAGACAAAAGACAGATCTCGTGATATGGTGCCACGTTTTATGATCCATGGCTCAATAAATGGGTGATACGAAGACACCCATCCCACTGCAAGTCAACTCTACACAGAGGTAGAAGTATATATGGCTGCAATGATGCCTGGTTCGCAGTTTTCGCACGTCGACGCCCATAAATATCCAAATGACCTTATCAGTCATTTCTGATACTGCCACCATGTCACCTGCTTCCTTTGTAATGCTGCTGATTAACAACTCACTTCACCCGAATGACAAAATACGTCTCGATTTTTCTTTATCGCGATACTTTCAACCCGAATAAAAGATGCCAGATAGGGCGAAATTAAGTACATGAACTGCAACGTAAAACAAGAAATACACTTAATGCACCACGTGAGCCAAATTTTAAGTCATAATTCATATCTGACAGCCGGTAACTACAGGCAGCGTTGCGCAGGTGCCACAATGGCGAATGCTTTTTTAAATTTTAATGGATGATCTGTCCAGAAGTTTTGCAAGAAACTTTCAAGGCAATACGCACTGCATTACACTGACAGTATGCGTTAGATGTTGGCCAAAAATTTAATAAATGCCGAAGCAACGTGATAATGGGTGCCGAAATTACGCTATGTCAAGGTGTGCGTATGGGAGGGGAGCTTGTTGCATGCACCCCTTCTTAAAATTATAAGAACTACCTGGCCATTTATCAAAAATCGCACGACATTCGATTTTTCCGAACAGATCAACGCTCTTAGAAGTGAAAGCATTAAACATTGTTGATAGGGGGCAGGCGGAGGTGCAACAGGTGTGTCAAGTGGTACTCGCCGCGTGTGCAGGTGATGTGTGCTCCACCATCAATGCTGCTGGATGAGGGGCACCCCGCAACTGAAGGCTGAAACACCGGGTCCGTGGAGGATTTGAGCCCATTCGATATCCCTGCTTGGTCTGAGTGCTGCCTGAGATGGTGTTGCCGGCCCCACACGCAGACCTCTTCACCCATGCACTTGGTGGGCTCTGATGACAACGGGATGGACTGCTACCGGCAAGTTCGGTGCGCTGCTGTGCCGTGTGGGCAAGAGTATTTGTCAGCACACATCACATCCACACCTCTTCGCCATAGGCGCGTGGGTAGTTCGTGGCATGAAGGTGCTTGCACCCGCGGTCCCCCTCTTCAATGGTTCGCATCTGACACTCAAGCGTGTTTGCTTCCGCGCAGGCTTCGACGACCTCAACAGGTAGTGACGCAAACCTCGCCAGCTCCACATACTGGGTGGCCTGCACCGATTAATTATTGCGCAAGAAATGACGTCAAACGCAACATTTGGTGCCTACCGCTTATATGTGGGCATATATTTTTTTACGAGATCAGGACATTGAGCGGCTCGAGACACATGTCAGCACAATTGGTACCGCTGTGCTTACTGCAACCAATGACAGGTAATGGGGCAAGGCACGTTGGCTCTTGGTGGACGTTAGCAGATGCCGTCTACTTTTGGACACATAGAAATTGTGGTGTTATTGAGTTACTGTTTGAGACACATCCACGCAGCACAAGCACATCTTGCATAGGTTCACAATGCTGCAGCTCGCCAGATAACTGCATTTTCGTGCTCGAAGATTGCGAAGTGTTTTCCAGCCGCCTGAGCAGTATATACAAACCGACTTGAATCGATATCAGGTATGCAGAAGCTATGCACTGATGCTCTTCAGTATTGGAGCCTCTGATTTCATGTCAATTGAAATGCAAAGCGTAGACCACCAAATTTCACATCTTCCATTCGAAGCATTGGTTATAGAACGATTCGTCGGAGCGATATCCGAGAGTTTCGTGCATTGATATGTCTCTATTGCAATTCGGTATTAGGCGGAGTCTGGAGTGGCAGGATCTCTTGCACCTCAAAGGCAGGACAATACAAAGCACAATACAAAGTGCGTTCGGGTCTCCGCATGCGACTCACAAGCCAAAAATGTGCTAGCCATTCTGCCATTGGCCGTTCATATTTTTCAGACGCCTACTAAAGAATAATAAGATTTCAAGCGTCCGGCCGCCTACGCTGGTGAAACTCACCAGACAGCGATTACTGGCCGAGGACTTGGGCGTCTGCATTCCATGTGACAATTTCATGCATGGATTCCTGCACTCCATGTGTCGATAAATGAACACCACAGAAGTTGAATGGCGCTGGAAAGAAATATACCCTTGGGAAACGTTCGGCGAAGACCTCTCCGGACGACAGGATCATGTGGTTATTAACACGCGCGCGGGTGGCCGGCTAGATACTCTTTGCTCGGGTGAGGGTTCATTTTGACCCCCTGAGATCTCGGGAATTGAGAAAGCTAGAGACACCAAATTTACTGGGCGTATTGACCTGTACGTTAACTCACTTAGGTCAAAGCTTGATATTCTTAGGTCATGACCGTTGGGTCAAATAAGGTCAAATTCCAGGTTGGTCTCCAAAAGGGCCCCAGAACCTAGCTAACCGTTTCTAAGGAAAAGGTCGCATGCTCATTTTAGGTCAGTGACAGTGTTTGACATTTTGAAGGTCATGGTGGTCAGAATCATACAAAACTCTTTAAAGTGTTGCGTGTGAATAAGCGACAAAGATTACGCTAGTCCGTATGTCTCTAAAAACAAAATGTTGCCCTGGGTCAGCTTAGGTCAATGGCCTATCCTGAGCTATAAGAAGTCCATGGAAGATGTATAACACGGTTACTGCGATCAATGAATTACAGATGATCACCAGAAACTACCCCATACAGCAAGCCCCAGAGTGATAAAACAGGTTGGCTTTGACCTTGGTCTGACCTTCATACCTGACCTTAGGTCAACGTAATTTGCTCACTTAATATTTGTGTTGCCTAAGAAAGTATGTCAGAGATGTATGGCTTCGTCTGACTCTCTGTTATTACATCAGATTGAACGATTTCCTAGAAACTGACCTCGCTGAAACCATGACCTGACTTTGACCTACCATAGGTCAGCGACCTTGCAAGGTACATCTATTTTTTTAAATCAAACGATCCGCTATTTGACTGTCTACGGCTATGCGACATTTGGTGCGGCTGTGCTGCGCGGTTCGGAAACCATTCTGGAAAAGCCTTTGAGGGGGGGGGGGGTCAATTTGACCCCCACCTGAGCGCGTTTTTATCTTAAAGGGAGTGTTCCATATTTGTGTCAGGTTTCGAAATGAAATAGGCATTTGGAAGATCATACGGTGCAGATCACAGCCCTGCCCTTCTCAAGACTTCTAGCTTCTGAGCTAAATGCCCGCAAAGATAGGGGACTATTTTGGGGAGAGTATTTTAAGTTTACCCTGACATTCATGACGTCATAATAACGTCATGCAGGTCCTGCCGTCCCAAAAGCCTTGCGGCGATCAGGACGTAATCAAACAATGTCGTTTCGAGGAGCATTTTAACTAAACAGAAAAATTGTGTTGTGTAAAGCAGTCTCGTCTCCTTAGACGCATATTCATAGTCATAAGTGTCTTGTTTAATCACATCCAATATCTTCGAATGTGAAACATTCCTCTTAAGGCGATAGCATGACGCCGTTAGGTAATCGCTGGTGAGTAGCTGTATAGCCTGTCTGTCACCACCTCTAGACCGAGAAACCTAGCGTGAAGTGCGCTATACATGCGCGAGCAAAATGGTAAGGTACAACAGAGATTTGCGTACGCAATTTGTATTACTGCATGGACTGGCACAACACAATCATCGTGCATCCAAGACGGTCGGACAACAGCGTGACGGCACGTGCTGCAGCGCTCCCGCCTCTCCGAACGCCGTCTAGACCGTGGGGTAGGAGGCCTGGGTGGCGATGCCGCACTGGTTCGTGTGGTTGCGCGTCATATTTATGAAACCTTCCTCGCCCCAGGAGCGGCCCCAGGAGTTCTTCACCAGCCAGTAGTCGCTGCCGCCCTCGGTACCGTAGCCGATGGCGAGCACGCCGTGGTCAAGACGCGAGCTGGAGCAGCG